TTATACAGAAGAAAAGAATATATCGTGATATATATCGTTACCGCACATGCTTCAAATTATATCGCGATATGAATTTTAGGCCATATCGCCCAGCCCTATCTGTAGTAACTTCCTGCATTGAGAATATAAAGCCAACATGGCTACGGGACATTTTTTTAGCTGAAACTTGTAACACCTGGTAGTTGGTTCAGACTGGGGTTGGATCACATTCACACCATAAGTGAAGCGCCTCCTCCAAAGGGTCCCGATGCAGTCCTTTGGGTCTCCCCCAATTACTGTGTTCATATCTGCACACATCAACCACACCGAGGGGGAAAATGGACCAGAGTTCAATTTAAACGGACTAAACACTGCAGGTGGGAAAATACCCGTAGTACTACTTAGTTTAAGTATCTTTGTGGTAACTTTTCTTTTCTTTTCTTTTTTTACTTTTAGGTTTCTTCAAATTTTTTGAAAACAAAAATCTAAACTGCTGGCAGGCATTCTTTGAAACTAGGACAAAGATTGTGTGTCAATATTTTGTCCCATCAATACAAAGTGTTTCTTTCTGATCCAGCATCAAATTACAGGAATGTGTTCGTTGCAGCCAGACTCCACAGAGACAGCGTTTTATCAGAACATGTATGGAGACCATGACAGCATGCTGTACGGGGAATTTAACCGCATGTCTGCAGAGAAAGTGATTCAGTGTTTTCACCCATTCATCTCACAAATATCTGACAAAGCAAACTCACCTAATTGACCCTGCTGCCCACACAAGAAGCCTTACAGCTTGAGCTTTATTTGTGCCATTCACTGGTATATACAACTCAAAGCATGCTGTTCCACTTTAAGTCTGTTTACTCGCCTCTCGAGCTCCTTTGAAACACGACTGACCTGCAGCCATGTTCAAAACTCTCAGGAACACCAGAGCTGCTGCTGCTCCAGCTAAAGGCTGTGTTAAGACTTAAGGCAACCAGGTGTCTGTTAGACAGATAAACCACACCTGAAAAGCTCTCCTCCTAACAGGTTTGTTTGTCAGAGAGAAGAAGTCACAAACAACTAAGGATCTGGCTGAGATTAAGAAAAACATTTACCCGCAAAGATCATTGGGGAAAAAAGATGTCAGTTTCCAAGTGAGAATAAAGATTTAGCTCTGGAGCGATGGATAAAGGTCAGGAGGTCTGAGTCCAGACTGACCCTGTAGCTACATCAGCCAAGAAGAGAATGAAGTGATGCACTCATCATGCCCAGTTAGTGCCTGATACCGATACTGGTATCGGGTATCGGGGCCGATACTGTAAAATGTGTGTGTACTCATACTCGTAAAAGTTAACCGATACCATGAACCGATACCAACTTATTTCATTAATCAGAGGGTGGCTTGT